GCAAACATGGTCGCATTTCTTTCCATAAAATCATCATCTTCTTTCTGGTCATCTTGGCAAAGAATGATGTCATGAAGTTTTTGTATTCTAAGGTAGCCTAAGAATTTGATTTCCCATAATTTGTACTTGGTTTCGTTTCCATCAAAATACAGTCGTAATCTGGGCTCATAACCAATGTTGACCATGTTTGCCGTAGTCTCTGAATATGGAATCCAGTGAAGTCCGTAATCTCTTCAATATCAGAGGTTGGCAATGTAGATTCGGAGAAAGTAGTGGCTGCTAATTCTTTAAGTCTTCGATATCAGGTTGGCAGTGGAGATATTTTGGGGAGAAAAAACAAAATGGCTGCCTTTATACACATCAGATTGAATATTTTGAGCTTTCTGATTGGTTAACCCTTCTATTGGTGAACTATAAAATGAGTCAGCTCATTTTGACTAGCTCACTAGTACACAGTACCCAGAAAACTGCAACAGTATATACTCACATATAGGTCACACTTTTTACCAAAAATTTCACAAAATATTAGGTGTGTGACCTATCCACTCGACATAAATGTAAAACGACACTACCTTGTATCATGATTTCTGGAAAATTGGAAATGATACGCATAAACACTAAAGCTGTGGTTTTTCTCTGTATAGAAACAATTTATCTATCATATATCACTGCATTAAACTTACCTCATGTTTCTAGATTCATATATCCATCACAATAAATAAACAAAATTATAACATATTCATTGATCCATCAGTCACCATTCGTTTGGCGTCCTCGTACTAGACTGATATAGAAACCCTGAATATGCATAAGTTAAGGAACCATGTGTAGATGTTTATTGACAAAGAAAAAATAGTCTCATTTCATTCTGCAAAATATATATATATATATATATATATATATATATTGTCTAAAATACATTGGAAAATATAACTTAAAGAAATGAAATATATTCTTTATGGTTGTTTTTCTTTAATTGTTGTTTCATATAATATTAAAAGGCATTCTTAAGTTTTATTTACAAATAACAAAGTGCATAAATCTAGTACCCAAAATGTTTGCACTGTTTTGCATTGCGCAGTGATATAGTTGGTAGCCAAATTTATAGCTTATAATTTTAATTATTGCAAACCCTAATCATGAGTAAAATAAAAAGTTATGAAGCAAGTTTTAAATTAAAAATACTAAATTATGCAGAAGAACATGGAAATCAATCAGCAGAAAGGCAGTTTGGAATTTCAGAAAAGTTGTCAGAAGATGGAGAAAGCAGAAAGATCAGCTTAAAGAAATGATGAAATCAAAGAAAGCAGCAATGTATTCAATATCTCCATATCAAAATATGAAAAAAGAATGGTATGATTGCGTTATGGACATAAGAATTAACGGCCTTATTGTAACAAGACTTTCAATAAGAACCAGAGCCTTTCAAAAAATATCAGCACAACAGTTACTTCCTTTTGTTTACATGATAATTGATGAAATGTATTTTAACTGCAAAAGTGTATTAATAATTGTAAGTTTTGAAATAAAGGTAGATATCTGATAATTCTTATATTTAAAAAGGGCTGTGTAACTCCCTAGATTATAGTGCGACCTATCTGCGAGTCAACAGTAAATCATCAGTTATTAAGCCATAAATTAGGGGTGCGACCTATCTGATGGGGCAACCTATCTGTGAGTATATATGGTACATATACTCGTATACTCTCATCTAAACTCTATCTCTTGTATGTGGCAGGAATTTTGCACTTGAATTCTTGAAACTTCAATTTTCACCTTATCCTGCTGTATTATTATGTTGTGCATATAACAATTTATTTTGTATTTTTTGACACTTTGTGCATTATCTTTTATTCATTACACAAGGCCAATATAGACCTAAATCAATTATACCAATATATGGTGGGAATGGATGTTGTCATGAGTTGCCATTATTAAATTTAAAAATTTTTTTTGACCCCTTTTAAAGTGCCTTTTCTATGATGAAAGATGTATTTGATGTGTGTTTGTTTCTTTTGTATAAGATTAACTACTTTCTCTAGTGCTACATAGTAGTTTAGTATTATTTAATAGTTACTTGTCTAATATTAATAATCATGTTGTGATCTTGTTTGATGTATTGATTGATGTGAGTAGAAACTGTACTCAGATTTGATAAGTAGCATGTTTACTTATACTTAAAATGTAATAGACAGGTTCAGCTTTGTTGTTCAAATCCAGTAAAACAATTTTAATGACTTCTAAGAGCCAGGAATGATCAACACAACACATATCAAACACTGGTGACTTAATTCAGAGAATACAAAACATAAATATGGAAAACATGGTCATGGCAAGCTTAGGCATCAAATCTCTATACACAAATATGCCTGTCACAAAATGCCTTAACATATTGAGAAACCACCTCAAAAAATCTAAAGAAAAGCTTCCTCAACATGCCCACAAAATTATAAAACTACACAATCATTAACCAATACTTCTCTTTCAACAATATTTTCTACAAGCAAATATCACTGGTGTTCTTGCTTGACTTTTTCTAGAATTTTTAGAATCTGGTCCATTTAAACGCATTATACTAAAACGCTATACTTACCTAAGATATATAGATGACGTCCTCTTATTATATCCACAAGATATAAACCTATTAGGCTTAATAAGGAAGTTCAATGAGGTTGAACCTATCATTGAATTTACATACAAATTTGAAATAAAAAATTCTCTACCTTTCCTTGGCATCTTATTAATACACAACAATAAGAAATTAGATTTTAAAGTTTATCATAAACCCACCAACAAAAATGATCTAATCAATTTCTATTTCCACCACAACAAAAAATAAAATCTAAAATAATCATAGGATTCTACCTCAGAGATCTTAGGATATGTAGCCTGGAAGAGCTAAATGAAGAAGAGAAATATATTGAAAAACCATTCAAACTTCTTAACTACCCACATTATTTCATCCTCAAAAAAAGCGAGCTTACAAAATGCACAGAGCCAAAAAACAGATACCGCTAATAATACTTCTAACAACAAAAATTACACAAAATTCATATTCCTACTCTCCAACACACTTTCTGCTAAACTCACAAGCAAATTAGTCATCCCTAATACTAACATTGTTACCACTACCTATTATGACAATTAGAGATATAATTAGGAAGAAAAATAAACCCAATACCAATTCAAAGGGCAAGATTTATCAAATAAATTGTTTACAATAAACAAAAATGTTTATGAGGGGAGACATCATGTGATCTAAAAACCCACATCTACGAACACAACAGAGATTTGCATTTAGACAAATGATCTAACTGCTGCATATTGCATAGAAACAAGGTTGGACATAACTTTGATTTCACAACACCACCCTAATTAAAAAAAAGAACATAATTCTTTAAGCAGAAAATACTTTGAAATCTTAATAATAACATTATTACCATCTATAAACACAAACCTAAAACACTGAATTACATTGCTATCCTTCATTGAATCCATTCTTAAAGAAACATATCTATCTAATACAAGGAGTATGGGCATAAAAAGAACGGTTCCAGATAAAAGTGGAATGTCATCCCACTGCGTCGGCTAACTGCACAAAGATGAAGACATCAGAACTCTTCCTACTATAGACAGACATACATACACAATTACAAATGCACATTACCATCTGATGCCCACTTAGACATAGAAGAATCTTTACAAACTTACATATAGAATTATCTACAGTTTTAATACACATGATACATGACTGACCAAAGAGAATTGACACAAACAAAATTGAAAATACCAAAGTTTTTTTCGGGGGTGGGGGGCTGTATTCTCTCAATCCCTGAAGCTTTAATAAAAGTGAAACATGTTAGACTGCTATACATTTCTTATTTGTTCTTTATTTTATCATTCATATATATATATTATTTAAAAAAAACAGAAAAAGTGGGAATGAATTCTATGAATCTAGGTAAATAAATTATATAGTTGTTTTTTCTGTGAAAGCAGCTGATAAGAATCATTGAAATTTTAAAAAATCATGTTTATAAATACTATGTTTAAATCTTAACTGTCTTTTGTTATAATCCATAGATAGTCCTTTACTTGAGCAATGTAAATATATTTTTGGAAAGCAATCAGAATGAATAAAATTTCAAACAATACAACCACATCTGTTTTATATTTTATACAGTTGATTTTTTTTTTCATTTATTTTTCTTTCATGCCAGTATCTGTATATGTAAATACTGTAATTCTTTTATATTTTCCCCGTGTCTTGTGTAAATTTTATTATAGTACAGATTTTGTACAATAACAATGCATTGGCTTAACTTCATCTTTTACTGTCTATATTTGGAAATGGTTCCATTATTACAATTACTGCTGCCTCCTCCTCTTAAGTCAATGAATTGATGAGACCTATAGAACTATTTACTTATGTTTGTGCAAATAAAATGCTTGTAAAAAACATGCTTTTGCTACTATTTCAAATGAGTATTTTTTTCTATTATTTGCTTTTACAAGTGATTGTTCATATGTAATATTATTCAATAACATTTGAGCAACTACTTTGTTTTCTTCTACGTATGCATACATGTAAAAGTGTATGGGTATAACATTTATGAATGAAGTCTAATAGTTTGAGCTAATCAATATTGTTATTAAATACTATAGAAAGGCTTTAATGCTGCATACCATAGATACTATCTTTAGGGTAATGCATTTATTATTAAAGCATGAATGAATAATTACATGCATTGGAAAACAGGATCCTAGTTCACTTACATTTCTTAATACAATATAATAACTAGTGTTTTACAAAGACCTGTTTTCCTATTAAAATCTTGTAAAGTAGTACATTTTAATTTATGAAATGTTAAATTGGAAAGAATTGAGACAAAATTACGACAAATCTAATATATTTGTTTTAATCTGTTTTTCTGACAAAACTGGTTTTTGAGTTTTGCATTTAAAATTCTGACTAGAAATGTTTACCATTTTTTTCACAGAACATTATATGATTCCAATTTGGACCCTTTAAATATTCAGGTCAGTATATTTTAAAATATCCATTATATGTTAGTAAATTTTAACTCAAAAGAGCTTCCCTGTCATGAATTTATATTATCCACTATTTAAAAACAAACAAAACTACTTCATAGCAATGAGGATGAATTTAATTTTTATCAGAAAATCTAACCAGAATCTATGTGTATACACTTTAGAAAGTTTTATTGTATTAAGAAAATTATGAAAACTAATCTGATTTAATTTCTAAGTTTTAAAGGAATATTATATACTAATCTACTGAGATTTATTATCTGTATCTCATTTCAGAATATAAAATGAATTTTAAGCAAATGTTAAGACATTAATTATTAACTTATACTGCAAAATCAAACACTTCTTTAGAAGATTGAACTTATTTGGTATATTATAATTTTCACTTGTTTAATTTGAAGTATATCACTTTTATAAATACTTGTTTTACTGTTAAATGTATTTTGTTTTTGTTTTTTTTGCAAACCCTGACATAAATTCATGAATTAATAGCTAGAGTTCACAAACTACTCAATTATGGATCTATAGAACTTCTTATCCTGTTCTTCTGCAAACTGAATTATTTCTTGGTCTAATACAGCAATAAATATGTCAGTTGTTTTAATTTTTAACTTTTGATTGCTTAATTCTCATTCATTTTCCATTTATAGATTTTTGAAGCCACAAACTTATATGCCATAATTATATAAATGTTGATTAAAATTGATTTATTACTTTGACCTCATCCATACTTTTAGTATGTCGGAGTTACCTCCTCCTTCCATCCTTGAACTGGCAGAGGAACAGGGTCATTTCAACCTTGACCTCTCATTCATGCTCCTTACACACTGTTAACACGTCAGAGGGACTAGCAAATCCCCTTTTTAGTTAGGCTATATTACAAACCTAGTTGTAATATACTTCTAGTCATTTTTAGACCATAGTTATCTTTAGCTAACCTTGTAGCATTTTATTATAGAGACTTTTCGGTTAGCTTAGCCAATTTCTCTTGCTGGTCCCCCTCGACACAAGACAGTGATTTCTCCCTAGAGGAGGCTGTCGGTGGATCGTCTCATGAGGCCCCTTGGCCTTCATTGGCCAAGGGGCTGATCTGGGCTGTGTATTAAGTTACGCTCCCACTTTTTTTTGTCTGCCAACTTGACGATAGTTGGGAACTTTCTTTCTCTCTCTCTCTCCTTCCCAACACGTCAAGTTGGCATCCCAGCAATGACAAACAACGAGTTGGCAACACGAACTGCAGCAACAAGTTGGCACCCCGGCAACGACTCAGCTTCAACAACCAACAAAGATCATCCTGGCATCACTCAACATCAACAACCACCAAGCGATCATCCTGGCAACAACCCACATCAGCTTCAACCCCCCAACAACGATGATCCTAGCGACTACCAACGCCAACTTCGACCATCAATGCCTGCAGCTTCCGGCTCACTCCTGCAGCACTCCTGCAGCATCCGGCTCACTCCTGCTGTTTCCAGGTCACTCCTGCTGTTTCCAGGTCACTCCTGCAGCTTCTGGCTCACTCCTATTAATGATGATAAACTCATATGCCCTTCCGGCTCACTCCTATTAATGATGATAAACTCATATGCCCTTCCTAAAATTAATACTTGTTATAGCTTTGCTTTGAAAATAAAAATTTGGGAGAGTTTTCCACATTTGTTGTGGGCTCTGAAAAGCTTAATAAGGTCTATATAGAATAGGAATGCCTTACCTACAATGTTTGAGATAAAAGCCTTGGCAGCCATGCAAAAGTGATCCTTTACTTCAGCTCTTTTTCTGCCACTTGATTTAGTAAGAAAAGTTGCCTGATAGATCCTGTGCCTCCATGTTTCCCTGCCAGCTGCCTTTGTTTCCCACTAACATGGGTTGAGCCCACAGGGGATACAGATCCTTTTAAGCCAGAAACTAGTTCTCTTAATAGTGCTTTGGGGTGTCTTTGAAAGATAATAGTCCTCCATCTTCATATACACAAAAATAGCTACAAACTTTATATCATTGAAACATGTAGCAAAATTTGCTCTATTTTTCATCTTATCTTAAATAAAAATTTTGTTAGAATTATTCATTGAATGAAATAATCATTTTAAAACAATCACTTTGACATGTAACCAGAGGAAGATGGATTCATACCTTTTCCTTCAGGATTAGTGCAAAGTGAAAAAAAAAACAAATATGGTGGGATTTAGAACCTGACACACTGATTTCACTTTCTGTGCTGATAGTCATTATACTAACCACACATTAAGTTATAAAATTGACAACAGAAAAAAATAATATGAGATGTACAACTTACAATAAATATTTATTATGAATTCATGAAAACTTATAATGAGAACTGAAATAATTAAAGTAATAAAATATTGATGTTTTTTTAACTTAATAATGTATTTATAGTGTTTTAGAATAATTAAAATATATAAGAATTTAGATTCATTGTAGGCAAAAAATTTGAACAAAATCTAACAATTAAATTACCATTGAAACATAACAAATTTCATTGTAGTTATTTTGGTTATTAAAAATATATAAGAATTAGCATTATTGGTATAGATTTTTAATTTGGCTAGACAACTTGATCCCTACCAAAAATTATGCTATTTTAAAGATATCCTTAGGTACAAATTACTTTTCATGTTGTATATTTCAAAGAAAATGAATAAAAAATAATGAAAATGGAATATTTCTTTAGTTTATTATGACTGTATTTATTTTAAATATTGTTTCTATGGTATTTTCATGTTTTGCTTGTGTTTCTCTTTTTATGTTTCATGTTTAGACTGTTCAAGAATTTAAAATAGCAGCCCCAGAAAATAACACAGAAAATTGTCGTCAAAAACAATATTCAGAACCATTGCCACATCCAACAAAATTGAGGTAAATATTCAACATTATTAATTCAGTAGATTTTATCAATTAATATAACAGATGAAACAAAATTGATAAATTCTATTATTTGTTTCTTCTCATTTTGAAACAATTCATTTTGATTATAACTTTGTGAAATATAATTGTTGATTTCAATCCATTAGGAATGACTGCAAAACATGCTGGGATATTATTCTTAGCCAATAAAATAGGCTGATTTGCAGTTTGACAACTCAGTCTAAATCTGCCTTGTCTAGAAGACAGATAACTACATTTGCTTGTCCAAACTCGCTTTTGTGTCTTGATGCCAATTCTTAGTTTTGCGTTACTGTTAATTTGACTTACATATATTGTTTGCTTGCTTGATATTATTTCATTTTTACCGTGTTCCTTTTTATTCAAACTTTGTTAATTCTATTTGTTGGACAGTTCTGTTGTTTATTTTGCATTTGACTATGGCTACTCACTAGACAGGTTATGAGCCCAGGAATAGGCTCTGTTTCAACAGTGACTAATCAAAATATGAACTATGGGAAGTAAAATTTTGGGGTTACATATCAATCCAAAAATTACATGAAACAAATTTGACACCTTTTGATTGTACCACTGATGAAGACTACTGTGAAAAGAGTGCAAACATGTTTGCTGAATTAATTCAATTTCTCAATGATCAAAGTCTGTCTCTTATTATCAGAGAAGTCCCTGATTTGAGAAAAGCATTGCAAATTTTGACTGAGTACTATTTATCAAAAGGAAAAACAAAAATAATTTCCTTAGATACTAAATTACCTCCCTATGCAAAGCAACTGCTGAAACTATTACTGATTATATTATTAGAGCTGAAAACTCGACCACTTTATTAAAAACTTAAAGGGAGGTAATTGGTGATGGTTTACTAATAGCTATGGTCCTAAAAGGCCCCCTGTCTGATTTCAAGCCATTTACAACTGTTATTACTCAGAAAGACAAGCTACTAATATTTAGTGAATTCAAAGTAGCATTGCAAAGCTTTGAAAAAACTGAAAATATGATTCAAGAGAATAATAGTGAAAATACCGTAATGATTCTCCAAATGCCAAGACCAAAAACAAACTAATGTTCCTCCTTGCTTTACTTGTGCTAAACTTGGACATAAAAGCCCTGATTGCCAAAGTAAATTTTGAAATTACACAGTAATTATCATCTTCTCAAAATACCATAATTCCAATCCACCAAACAAAAATATTATTTACCATGCTTGTTGCAAACCTGGACATAAAAGTACCGAGTACAGAAAAAAAAGAAAGTTTATTTCATAAAAAATGTGGAACATGTTTTAGATAATGAACGTTCATTTCTGTTTCCTATTGCACTAGATACCATTTCCATCAAAAACAGTTTACTTGTTGACTGTGGTGCCTGTGATGAATCTAAATTTTTTACTTTTGATTATGATTTTAATCCAGAAAATCATCATAAATCATGCCTAAATCAAGGCATCAAATTCTTGGAAATTGCAATCTGAAAGACATTACACAGCTACAAAAAGTTTTGGAAGTCATGAAAATTGTCAATAAATAAGATTTAAACAGTGAAATATGTATCCAAGGCAAGATGGTACAGTATTAAAACAAGTTATCTGACAAAAGAGCAACTAAAATATTAGACCTTGTTCATTGTGATCTAGCTGAGGTGATTAAACCAAGATCTTTGAATGGCTTCAAATATACACTTTGTTTTGTGGATCATTATGCTGGTCTAATTATGGTTTATTTTCTGAAACAAAAAAAGCGATATGTTTCTTGCCTCAAAGAAATATTTGGCTGACTTTACTCCATATGACTCTATAAAACATCTAAGAACTGCACAAAATTCACTTCTGAAAACTTTGAATATTTTTAATTAATTAATCAAATCAAATATGAGAAATAGGCTCCATTCTCTGCATACCAAAATGGTACTGCATGATCTTAGCAATCTCTGTTGAAAATGAGTAAATGTCTATTAATAGAATCAAAACTACCAAGGAGATTTTGTGGTCTTATGCTATTATGACTACTTCATATATTAGAAATCAGTGTTACAAAGAACCAAAAAAAAATGCCTTCCAAAGGAACAAGGGTCACAAACCTAACCTTGTCAATATGCATATATTTGGCACTATACAAGATAGAAAGAAATTGGAATCTAAAGGTGAAAAAGCAATTTTCATAAGGCTACAATAAATCAAGTCCTGCCTATTCAACATATATACCTGAAACTAAGAATTTCAAAAGAGTCAGGTGTGTAAAATTTACTGAAAACATTGAAAATCCTACATCTGATAATTTTTTACTTCCATTGGAAGAAACTGATGTAATACTTCCCAGTTCTCTGCCAAAAAATCCTTGCAGGGAGGGGACACAAGAGAGTGAAACTACACAATCAAGTTCAAGCAATAATACGGGAGATAGTCCAAGTGTAAAAATAACCAACAGAAGATATCCAAGCAGGTTATGAAAAATGCCTGACTATTTAAAAGATTACATCGTTAAGAATTTAGATGACATAGTAAATCTGATGATAAATTATTGTTGTTCGATAACGACTATACCCACTAATTATAATGAAGCCATTACTTCAAATGACTATAAAATGGCAAGATGCCAAGGAAAAAGAGATAGCTGCCCTGAAAGCAAACAATACATATGAATTGACAGAGTAAAAACTTGGTAAAACTGTTACGGGCAGTCAGTGGGCCTACACTATTAAAACTAATAACACTAATAATGAATAGTTCAAAGTGAGATTCATTACAAAGGGCTACTTGCAAAAACCTGGAATAGAGCATCAGGAATTTTTTTCCCCCACAGCATGTTTGTCATCAGTAAGAACTTTAATGAAAAAATAAAAAGTATAAAGTAATAATATAAAAAAAATTTGAAATATTAAAACAAAAAAGAAATTTCTCTCATATATGCAAATTATATATATGTAAATGTTTGCAAGTATCTTGTTTGAATTTATTGGCCCCATAGAAAGGGGGAGAATTAGGGGAGGTAAATATGAGTGCACTCGTCCATTAGACTGAGAAGAGGTGTTGATTTCAATCTGTTAGGAATGGCTGTAAAGCCCTTACTTCTACCATTTTATAGGTAGAAATTCACTACATGCTGGGATATTTTTCTTAGCCAATAAAATAGGATGGTTTGTAGTTTGACATGACTCAGTCCAGATCTGCCTTGACAGATAACTACATTCGCTTGTCCGAACTTGCTTTTGTGTGTTGACACCAATTCTTAATTTGTTAACTTTTTGCCTTCTTACTGTGAATTTACCTTGCCTTTTACCTTGCATATATATTGTCTGCTTACTTGCTTGATATTATTTCTTTTTTGCCCTGTTTCTTTTTCTTTTTGTTGTTAACTTTGTTAATTCTGTTTGTTGGACAGTTCCGTTCTTTTTTTTGCATTTAACCATGGCTACTCACTCCACAATAATGTGTATTTTTACAACATAGATGCAAATTGTGAGGAACGAGAAGACTTACCTCCCGCAAGGCGAATTTGCTTGGCGTATCAGGTCCTGGATGTGCAGGGGAAAAAAATTAATAATAAAAAAAAAAAGACTAAGAATTCAAAACCAGCTTGAATTTATAAAACCAGAAGTCTCGGGCGAACGAGAAGTAAGTCTCATGTGCCAATTGTAGTTGCCCCTGACGCAGGCACAAATAATGAGTTTGGGATGAAGACGACAGAGTGAATTATTGGTGTGACACCGTACTAACGAGACTGAGAGAATAAGAGGTCACTAGCAACAACTCAGTTGGTAGACCAGAGGACTGGACGAAAGGAAGCACTTTAATCTATTTCAGTCATCGCAAATGATGAGCGAACTGAATTACTCATGAGCTATTTTGGCTGTACTTTGACAATTATGGACTGGTTTGATTTGGAATTAATACCAGAATTTGATGGCTCCCCCACTGGTCCCTCTATTGTTGAGTGGTTTGAGAAGGTGGAGTGTGTTGTGCAAACTGTTCAAAATCAAAGAACCCACATTAGTCATCCCGTTGAGGCTAACAGGAGATATTTATGCAGTCTACTAGCAACTTGGGGATGAAGTGAACTTGGATTAAATCAAGTATGCCCTTCACACAGCATTTGGTACGGATGAGTCCATTGCATTGGATGGCGACTCCTCCCTGGGGAGACAGTTGATGTGTACCTGGCTGATCTAAGAAAGTTATCGGTACCAACTGGATACTGGCAAGTGCATTTTTGGAAGGTCTACACATTGATGTCAGCCGGCTTCTGTAAGCATCATCACAGCCAGGGGAGATGGGTATTGACCAGCGACTGACTAGAGCCTGAACCATTTTGAAGGAGTCAGAGCAATTCGCAGCAGCTGCACGGACAGAGAAAGCTGTGTGTAAATCAGAAGAGAATGCTGTCGGTGACTGTCGCATCCCCATGACTCAGAAGGGCTCCAAATGCTACAAGTGTGGTGGTCCCAACTACTTCTCCCAAGAATGCAGGAGTCGAAGTAATATGGGGAGCAGGAATCATAACTAAACACGTTGTTATCGCTGTAACAATTTGGGCCATCTAGCGCAGAACTGTCCGAGAAAGCAACGGTCCCTGTCAATCAGTAAGTATGGATTTGCCCATAGTCAGGGTATGTGTGAATGATGTGCAATGTGTGGCTCTCGTTGACATGGGATGTTCCCATTCAATAATCAGTGCAGACCTCTGTCAGGTCTGGAAGAAGTGACATGTGATGATTAGGACTATTGACAGGATGTCCCATACGTGCTGTGGAGTTGGAGTGATTTCAATCCTAACAGATGGAGGTGATTGTGCCGAAGTGGACACACTGGTGGTTTGTGACAAATCCATGGGGTATGATTTGCTGATCAGATGCCATATGTAAACTAGGCAGTATTATGGCTATGCGTACTGGGGAATTGCAGCTCGGGAGAAATTGTGACTCATGTGCCGCCATTACAATTGAGGAACGGGATTTCTGTATCGCGTATGACCAAGGAACAA